AACAAAAATTATATTACTTTATTATCACAAAGTTCTATGCAGATTTTTTAAAACTAAACATACTTTTATGTAATATACTATTGCATTATATAAAATAGCAAAAAAAAAAGGAAAAAGAAAAACAAGGAAAGCAATCCTTGTAGAATTTTAAAAAATGAATACGTCACAAATATGAATAAAAAAATAGAAAATATTATTTTCTGCAATAACATATTCCAAATAACTTATTTTATAAAAAAGTACATTTGTGATTTATAAATATTAATTACTTTTAATGTTTACAATACGTCAATTTTATACTTATTTTTATACTTATACTCATTTTTATACTTATTTTATGCTTTTTATTTTATTTATCTACACTTATCAATATTGTAACCTTATATCACTAAAACCTATAAAAAATGGGATTAATACTTATCTAAATTATTCTGCTCTATGATTTCATTAGTAAATGTACATTTTTTTGTGTGCATCAAATTGCTTTTTCAAAATGTTAATAATTTTTACTTTTTTATTTATTCTATTTTTCTGTACATTGCTATAACTTTGGCTATATACTATATACATTGCTATATGTTTTGTCTTTTACAAATTTAATTGTTTGGCCATTCATTTTCGTATTTTCTTGCTTACAATAGGCATAGCATTAGCCCTTTTCTGGCAGCTGGATTTGCGATACTGGATAACAGTAAAGAACTAGTATTAACTAACTGATTAATATAAAGTAAATTAGTTCTAACTAATATATCATATCACTATTAGCGATACAAAGTTTGCCAGTCGGAATAATAGTAACAACATTCCAATAGTGTTAAATGCCAGAAATGGCATCCAGTGTTGACGCAATAGTGGCTAGTATAACGGTCAAATAAATCATAGTTTTATGCGAACTTCGAGCACACAGAATGCAGACTCCTTTTACTCTGTTGTTGGCAGAGTTCAGTTGTTGTCATGTTGACTGAGAGATCCATAATTTGTGATGATTTGTCTTGCGTACTCCAATTTTCGTTTGTCAATTTTATTTTTAATAGCAACAATTAACCTCTCGTCTTTCAGATAAATTGTTGCGAAAATATTTACCTAAAACAAATTATTTCTACAATATCAATAAATATAAAGCTTCTTCCTATGCAGCGCAAAAGAGTTTGATTTGCTTGCGTTCAGCGTAACTGGATTGAATATGTTACATATGTAACAAATCACATATAAATAAACTCAATGTTAAAAAGTCAAAAAATAAAGGTATGATATGAATCACAAAACATACCCTTTGAAATTGATGTAAGGAGTGCGTATGCGTAATACTGATAATTAATATTGCAATTCTATCAACTTTCCCAAAATCAAAGTAACAGATTTAATATGCATATACAACTAATATTTATGAATAAAAACATATATAAACAAAAAAATGTCATTACCAATTTCCACTTAAAACCAATTGCTTGCTTTCTAAACGTTTCAATATGTAATCAAACACTATAAAGTTTCTTACATGCTTCGCAACAGTAAGAAGAACCATATTTATAGGTTTGTCTTGTTCTTTGACAAAATATTTATACTCAGTTGGTCTTAACATTTGATTCAAATAAGAGGTAATAATTAAAGGATCTTCACAGCAAGTTAAGTAATCTAAAATTTTGTTATGAGATGTTGTCGTCCATTTTTCCCGTACATAGTTCCAAACGGTGTAGTTTGCTAACATTAAACCTTTACAATATTTCCATTCTTTCCATGTAAGTCGACTGCGTTAGCAGAAAAAAATTTTTATACAAAGAAATAACTTATGTATATCAATAATAAAATAGCTTTTCAAATTTAATGTAATAATGCAACAAAATTTATTTAAACAAATATCGTGGTTATAAAACTACTTACTTATCTTGTACAGGACTTTCAAGATCTTTTATCAGTTGTAAAGTAGCTGTTTCCCTGCATTTAGCAGCAACAATAATACATGCCCATTTTGCAGCTTCCTCTCTTAAACATTTAGTAAGATCGCTTTCACTCGGTTTTTCATCGTATCCTATTATTTGCAAAACTCTGTTCAATATTAAACGATAAATAATGAAAATGGCGATAAGAGCCGTTGCAGGATGTTCGTGCTAAATTTTTAATTTTTCTTAAAGAAATTAGTAAATTAGTCTACAAGAGACAGTTAAATTGTACACCGATCTCAATTCGAGATACTTAAAGTGTACGAAAATTTTAAAGTACATAGTTCTCATATATCGAGAAACTTTAATGTACGTATAGGAATTATTGTAAAGAAAGGAAGAGAGAAAAAATATCAGGGCGCGAGTGGCTAAGCCGGGAATTGAACCCGGGTCTTTCGCTTGCCGGGCGAATGTTCTTACCATTAAACTACTCAGACCCCACGCTTCTAACATTTATCTCTCCTAGATTAGGAAATCAACAATGCTGTAGGACATAAACGCGTCATAATGCCCGCGTGATTT